GGATGCAGGGGCCCAGCAGGAGGAGGGGGGCCCAAAGCGGCGTTGGGGGGGGCACAAAGGTGGCACCCACTGCCCTGAGTGCAGAGCAGTGGCGCGGGAGACCTTGTACTAATTGAGCACAATAAAGCAGAGATTCAGCCCAGGGTCCCACATCTGCCCCAGAGCCCCGGGAAACACTCTAGGAGCAGCCTGGTGCCCCACAGCATGGACCCCCTCTGGCATCCAAGCCAAGAGGTGCAGAGTGTTCAGCACCCCCCAGAGGGCCGGGGGAGCCAAGCCCTGCAGGGACATTGCCAAGGGTGATGGAGTCCTCCCTGGGCTTGCGGCTCACCATGCTTTCAGTTTTGCTTTCATTTCTGGCAGGTGAAAACTGAAACCTCTGCAGTGCCAACAGGCAGCACTTAAGGCACTGGCCAGAGGTTACCTTGGGGTCTGCTGCCTCCCGCTGCCTGCCAGTGGCACCAGGGACCCTGGTTGCACTGGCCCCATCTCATCGCCTCTGGTGACACAGAGCCACCAGCACAGGCCATGTCCCAGTGCTGGCTGCACCCCAGCCTGGACACTTTAGCCCCCAGTGTGGGTGCAGGCAGGTGCTGGTACAGGCAAGAGCAGGCAAAGGAAAGGCAGAGGATGGAGCTGATTTTTATTCCTGAGGTGCAGCTGTCAGCAGGCTGGCACCCCTGATCCCACCAGGAACCCCTGCCTTGGGCAGCACTGCTGCTCTGCACACATGTCCCTGAGCCATCCCAGCAGACAGTGGCATTGAGTTCTCCCCTCATCCCAATGGGCATGGGTGACCTCAACCCCTTTACCACCCCACATGCCACTTGGCACTGCCCCTGCTTGAGCACACAACACAAGGATCTACCAAGGCATTTATTTCCAGCATGACAACGGCATACACAGGGGCATGGGCTGGTGCTGAGAGCAATGCTCAGGAGAGCAAGCAGGCAGGGACCTGGGGGTGCTGGGGGCCTGCACCCCCCCGGAGGCGCAGGAACATGAAGATGGTGGTCATGGGTTGGACGTTGTAGTGTGCCAGCGTGTGCCGGTCCTCCAGCTCCCTGGAGCCGTAGGTTAGGCGCTGCTCATTGGCATGAGGCCCCTGCCGGGCTTGGATCTGCTCCTTCAGCTGCCGGACAGTGTTGGTGGGCAGCACTGTGTAGGTCTTGGACTGGTGCTTCTCATCCTTCACAAAGACCTGCATCTCCTGGGGCTCGGTCCGCAGCAGCACCAGCGTGGTGCTGTAGAAGATGCCATGCATGGCCAGGGTCTCACCATCCTGTAGGATGAGGTTGCTCACACCTTGCTCCTGCAGCGCCAGGCGCTGGCTGTACGTCGGGATGCCCCACTCCTGCTCGATTATCTCCTTCAGCTTCCTGATGGTGATGTAGGGGCTGACGGTCTTGGTCAGGCTGGCACACGACAGCTGCCTCACAGTAATGGTCACGGGCTGGGCTGGCTGCAGGGACAGGAGAGCCAGGTGGGCAAAGCTGGCAGGAGCAGGGGTGGAGGGCCATGATGCTCACAGGCTGAGGCAGCCTTACCTGTACATCCCAGGGCTGGACATTTTCAAGGCAGGTCAGTGAGTGGCAGCTGCTGACAGCTTCCCGTGCCATGAGGGCCCAGTTCTTGCCTTGGCCCAGGATCCCCGTGGGGTCGGCAGGGTCCAGGATGACAGGGCTGCAAACACAGAGGAGTGGCACTGCTGTCAGCCCCAGGCAGTGCCATGGGGCCAATGGCACAGGTCCCACCAGGCACAGTCCTTACCGGGGACTGCGCAGCAGTGCTTTGATGTGGGCACCAATCTTTTCATGCTGGAGCAAGTAGTACTTCTCCCAGTAGATGCAGATGTTCTGGTGCTGACACAGCAGCTCCAGCACCGTACGGAAGCCCTGAGCCATGTCAAAGGAGTCATTTGAGTCTGTTCCCTTCTCCCAGGCATAGATGGTCAGCAGCTCCAGGGCATACTTGGGGGGCAGGTCTGCACTGGGGTACTGTGGCTTCACCAGCTGGGGAGGAGACAAGAGATGGGGGTGAGAGCTGGCTGGGTGGATTCCTAGTGGGTGCTTGGAAAGCCAGGCAGCCTCTCACCTCCTTGTACCAGTGCTTGACCAGGCGCAGGAGGTTTTTCATCTTGGCAGGACGATACTTCACAAACTTCTTCTGCAGCTCAGTGAAGCAGGGGGAAAACTCCCCAGGGCGGCCACAGGCATCCAGGAGCTTTATGTAGACTTCTGGATTGGGCGGGGCATCCTCGATCACCTGCCCTGTGTGGCAAAAAGAAAGGTGAGGGTCATCCCAGCACTGATACTGCAACCCAGCCCCACACTACCCACAGCCCTTACCCAAGGCGTCATAGGTGGGCAGGATGTCCACATCAATGGACTCTTCAGTCTCCTTGGAGGAGAGAGTGAGGCTGATGGAGCGTGGTTTATTGTTGGGATTCTTGAAATGCGGTTGACTGATGTGCACGTTGAAGTCCAGTTGTTCCCTGTAGTCATTCAGCCTTGTCTTGATCAAATCCAGGATAACCCCTCTGTCCTGCTGCTGTTCCTGGTAGCTGGATAAGCAGCTGAGAAAGAGCACCACGTCGGCATCAGAGTTGTTTTGCAGGGCTGTGCCCTTGCCCGCTGAGCCACCCTGCAGAGAGATACCCTGCCTGCTCAGCACTGCTGTCCCTCAGCACTGGGATCACCTACTACCGTTCCTGGAGCTGCCTAGGGAAACTGAGACAGGGTACGAGCTGGAGCAGCAGGACAGAAGGAAGGGTGACAGTAGGGGTCCTGGCTGGAGCCTGAGTTGGGCAGTGCTCACCTTGACAGTCTTGTGGACATGGATTGTAGTCTCAAAGCAGTCCCGCTTCAGGAACTCGCAGATCTGTTTCACCGTCCGCTTCACCTGTTTGCAGAACTCTTTGCTGGGCTGCAGGTTGTCTACGACCCAGCCATCCAGGTTTTTCGTGGTCACCGTTCTCAGTTCACTCATGGATGCCACCTGGCCCACATCCATGCTTCCAGGTGTGCTCACTCCGGCTGTACTCTCCTGACTTGCTGCCTCCTATGTCCACTCCTGCCTGCAGATGTCTCTACTTCCTCCAGCCTGCTCCTGTCTGCAGCAGCTTTTAAACCTTCCTAGGCGACAGCCCAAATGCTGTCACCGTTGGGAACTTAAGGTGGCTCCAGGTCCTGCCCATGAGGTCCCCCGGGTTCCCTGGAGCCACTGCTGCAGGGGCTGGGAGGGGGCAGGAGGGGCTGTGTGTCACCCTGGCATCCATCTGAGGTGGTGGTGGCAGCACGGGCAACTGCCTGCTGGCTGGCTCTGGAATGCTGTGGGACCTCATAGCCCAGGTGCCTGCAGTGGCACAGGGTCTCCCCTCGGTGCCCAGCTGGACAGAGGCAGAGTCCCACCACTGGGACCCTGCACGCGTCCCTGCCTGCCTGTGCTCACACCAGGGGCTCAAGTGTCTGGGCTGGAGCGCAGCCAGCACTGGGACATGGCTTGTGCACATGACATGGTGTCACCAGGGGCAATGGGATGTGGCCAGTGCACCACCAGGTACTCTGGTGCCACCACAGACTATGGGATGTGGTCGATGCCACAGGAGACCCCCGGGGTCATCACGAGCAATGGAATGCAGCTGGGACCTGTGTCACCAGATGCCCTGGGACCACTGTAGGCAATGAGATGCAGACACTGCCAGTGCCACCAAATGTCCTGGTGTCACCCTAGGCAATGGGACATGGACAGTGCCAGTGCCACCAGGTGCCTTGGTGTCACTGCAGGCAATGGGCTATGGCCAGTGTTAGTGTCGCCAGGAGTTCTGGAGTCACCCCAGGCAGTGGGACATGACTGGTGGCAGCATCATCAGAGCCCCCAGTGCCCCCCCGTC